TTATTAAACATTCCATTATTAATGATATATTATGTTAAGTGTGTACTATTATTAATATAATTATTTAATACATATCTATCTACCTTTCAGTATGTACATATTTATACATTTAAAGCTTTACTCTATTGAGTTATTATTTTTAGTTAATCTATTAGTGTTTAATTAAATGAAATGTCTGCAGTTTTCAATGTTCCTTTAACGACATGTGTTTATGAAAAATGCCACTTACTGATAATATATACTTTACATTATTGATACGATGAGTACTCTGCATGTGATACTGGATTCACAGAATACACACACGTACCGAGGCGTTCACGATGTGCTACTCGCATAAGTGTGAGTATTTTCACGCCATTTTTACCCACAAAAACAGTTGCAACTTCGGCCTGCAAAAATTAATATGTATTTTTTTACAGTTGAGATCTGAAGCCGTCATGTTGGTCATTATTATTAAATCGAAGTTTAATTTTTATGAAGTCGGTGTGATTATGGAAATGTGAACGAAATTAAATTATTCCATTTTCGTTAATATTGAATTTTAATTTGCAACTCTGTATGACAAACAAAGCAACACGAGATATAAATATTGGAGGAAAGTGGGCGGATGGAGGATGGACTCAGTACAGAGCAAAGAAACTGACTGACTGTCACATCCAATACGAAAAATGGCAGTTGATAATTTTTTATTAATACTTCGCATACACCTCTCGATTTTACAGTCAATATGCCAACAAAATATGATAATTTTGCGTAAAAATTTATTAAAAAATTAAAAACTGAATTAATACAAAAGCAACAACAACAACAAATACTACAACAACAATTACAACAAAAACAAAGAATAAAAAGAACACTAACGTAATGAATTACACGCTGACCGATAAGTAGCTCAAGTGTTCGGTATTCAATTAAAGGAAACACTTATCAAATACGCGTACATAATAGGATTAATAAGTTATTGGCAATTTAATGCGAAGTACAAAACGTACTTGTACGGATCAGGAATCAGGAATCAAGAAGGCATAAGTGAGTGCATCCAAAAATTGTATATAAATAATGTTAAATTAAAACAATTAAATTTAAGCTGACAGAACCAATTAAAGTTTAACTAAAACATGACGATGAAGTTTAATTTTTACTGCAGCTTTAAATAAAATAATTCATAACAGTTAAAATATGCATATATATACATATACATATTATATTAGTATTTTTCGAAATATATTCGAAACTGCACCAAATCAGCTGTTTTAAATATTCAACAGGAAGTGGATGCCAATCACACGTCAATCCCAGCAACTTGACAGCACTAAGTACGAGTGGAACTAGGAAAGCCCTAAAATACCGCAACTAAATCGTACAGGCATGACGTTACTTGCCCTACTCCATCGAAATTCTGCTGTGAAAATTCTTCGAAACTATGAGAAGCATGAAAACGCCTTCAACTTCACTACAAATTCAATCGAAGGAAAACCGTAAGACACCATAAATACTGCATTTCACACTTTTC